GAGTAAGGAATATTTTTTTACTCATGTCATCAACACAAAAGTTGTTGGAATGGTTAGATGTACGTAATTGGCATCGATATGATTTGATATATCATGTGTGGTATTTGAAGATAAAATTGATAGGCAAATTTAGGTAAGCTTGTGAGAATGATAAGCTCAGTTCAGGCAAGAAGCCATTTTTATAATTATATATCTAGATATATAAAATTATCTTTATAAAAAAACTTAAATCAAATTTCCATTAAAGAAAAAATATTACAAACCAATACTTATTCCCCTTATGGTTATTGCACAAATTCTCAGACCTCTAAACTTGCATCCATAAATCAATAAATACTAAGATTCTCACTGAAACAATGCAAACCAAGTCATGAAATAAGTATTAGAGTTTGGAGCGAATCTTTTCGATCGCGAGTAGGGAACAAGCTTGGACCGAAGAATGAGTTGTATATTCGATATAAGAGCTGAAGCAAGCCTTAATATATAAATTTTCGAAGGTGCAAATCAGTATTTATATACTATTAATTCTATTATGCAAGGTTCGAATTCTAACTTTCGTAATTGCCAAATTGTAAAACTAATCTAACAAACTTAACAAATCCAAAAGTTTGTATATCAAACAAAACGATGGTTTTACAAATCGGACGTCTAGGCGTTTAGGTGGCTTCGAAAATGATGCAAATAGAACGAATGTTATAAGTCAAATAGGAAAAAAAAATATTTTAGACGCATTTTTTTCCTGTAATTGTGGTGAGATTTTGAAGACTAATGTTACGGTCCAAGTCCATTGAGGGAAGATCCATCGACTCGGGTTCAACCAATCATTACAAACCATCCAAAAGAAATAACCAGTTTGGTTCGGTAGAGATCTGATTTCCTTTTTTTTTCTCAATGACCGATTGATTGGTTGCGCTTAATGTGTTAATGACCGATTGATTGGTTGCGCTTAATGTGTTAATGACCGATTGATTGGTTCGGCCCATTTCGATACGTAATGTGTTAACCATCAATCAACAACCCTAATCGTGT